TGTATATATATATATATATATCTCATAAAAGAGGTGTGAGGTGGGGGAGCAAAGGTGGCTATCATCTGTGAGTAAGTAACTGATCATCATATATATGTTACATTACCTTGTGCCATCTTGTTGTAGATGTTTAAATGTCTGTCATTCTTTGAATTTTATTTTATTTTTGTATTTTTTTTCTCTCTGTTGTCTGTTCATTTAGACTGCCCGTCATTGGGATGTGCATATTTTGTTCTCCCCATGGCTATTAATTGTCAAACTTCTTATTTTAGCCTCTCCCCCCACAACTCGTTACATTTTGAATGCATTTATCTTAGAATGTTGTTTATCAATGCTAAAAAGTGATGTGACAAAAGTGCATTAAGTCTTACCATTCCATTTTTAGTTAGTATAAGTTCTGATGTCTACAACCAAGTCATTAATTAATATGAAGTCTTTCCCAATTTTTTTTTAACAGGTTAATAGGAGTAGATAGGCTCACCTATTGTCTGGTCTGCATTCTTTCCATGTCTATTGAACAGGAGTAGAGGGTCATCTCTTGTTCTCTGTTCAGGATATGGTTTACCAATTCTCTTTCTCTCTCTTACCAGGGCTACAATGATTTAACTGTCTTAACTCTTTGGTAATCAGACTAACCAGTGGATGTGACTTTCCATTATGAGGGTATCAGGTTGGCAGTTTGCTGGATGCTGCTGTTTCCGACTAGTTGTTGAGAACCTCAACTCTTTGGTAGTGCTTAGAGAGTCAGCTCCAGTCAACAGTCACATAATATCGGGGCATCTGCAGTGCCATGTCGTGCAAACATAGGTGTCCCTGCATGTATTTCCTGTGGTCAACTCTGAGGCCATATTATGCTATGCTCTCAGCTATGCACTGACTGGTTTGTATTTCTCTCCTCAAAACATATCTCATGGAAATCACAACAAAAAGAAATAAAATTAAACCAGCTAACAAAAAACTACCTACTCTCATCAATCTTTCTTTCTTTAATATTCATGGTATCCGTTTCAACTTCTGCAGTGTAGCATCTTTTCTCTTGGAAAAGACGCCAGATATCTTTGCAGTTTCTGAAACCAACTTGAATTCTTCCATTGCTACCAGTGAATTCTGGGTTCCAGGGTATATTCTACTTTGCTGAAAAAATTCCAGCATTCACTTGCATGGCCTTGGTGTTTACATCCATGATAATCTTCCTGTGGCCAGAAAATTTTCTCTCCAGGTCGCTGATTACTCTTTCAGGTGCTTTCTAATAAACTGTCATCAGTCTCTTTCTCCTTTATCACACCCTCTCTTCCCAAGACTGGATAGTATATTAGATGCAATAGCTGACAACCATAGAAAAGGCATCTGCGAACATCTTTCTCTTCAGTGACTTTAATGCTCACCATGACACGTGGCTGAAACATTCTGATGTTGCCAGTATATAGACGTTAAATTTTTCAATTGCCCAATCCCTTACTCAAATCATGGACTTCCCTACATGTTTCCCAAGCTAAACCAAGCAATAGGCTTCTCTACTGGATCTATTTCTTACCACCTCTCCCTGCTCTTGCCAAGCTTCACAATACTGCCCACTTGCTAACTAGGACTACTCTGTGGTAGCTGCTGATATCTCCTTCGAAGCATTAAAAATGACCTTCACTCCTATCCAAAAGACCTCTTTCTATTACCAGCATGCTGATTGGGACACATTCTGGGATTTTCTTTGTGACACTCTTTGGAATAACATCTTCAACTTCCCAATTGAAAATTGGGCCACTGAGGTTTCTTCTTGGGTCAAAGCCGGTATAGACCCTTTCATTCCTTCTCGGAAATACCATGTGAAACTGCAATCCTCTCCATGGTTCACACCAGCATGATCAGCTGCCATAACACACAAGAACCATTATTTCTGGCTATACCATCCCGACAGCTTTCATCATAACAGGTGCCAATTTGCTACTTCTCAAAACAAATGTAAGCGAGTCCACAAAGAAGCTAAGACCGTGTTTGCTGAGAGGATAAGACACTGCATAGCCTCTAAAAACTTTAGCTCTCATGATTACTTGTGTTTCTGCAATGGGGTACTAAGTAAGTACAAGGTCTCTATTCCTCCCCTCTTCAATCAATTTGAGGTGTTATCATCCTCTTCTGATAAAGCTGAAGGCTTTGCCCATAAATTCTCCTCAAATTCTACCCATGACTCATCTGGAGTATCCCTGTCTAACTCCCCACTTAGAACTGAATCTCTGTTAAGTGATATGCATATAACCATTTCCATGGTTTCTGGTATCATCTCTAACCTTTGTCCCCACAAAGAATATGGACCCAATTGTATCCCTGTAATAGTCATTAAAAAGTTTGCTCCTGAACTGGATCCTGTTCTTTTTAAACTGTACAGTAAATGCTTTGCTGCATCCTGCTTGTTGGAAGTCATCATCTGTTGTTCCAGATTTTAAGAACTCTGGTGAACCATCTGACCCATCCAACTACCAGTTTGTTAGCTTTCTGCCTCTTTTGT